AACAAAAGTGTTATCATTGACATAATAAAAGTATGTTGTACGAAAAAAGGTACATTATACGCATATAGTGCTCGTAGAGCTAGAGGTATATTGTGACTATAATCCACCTTTTTAAGCAACAAATGTCTTTGGAAATAAGAGAATGTGTATATGTCCGCTCATCATACTAATAAATAACTTGCGAATGACGTCCATTTACAGACCGTCTAGTTACATAGTATGTTATGTGTACACAAATCAACTGTACTAAACCAATAGTCTTCCATAACTTTGGTCGCTCAATTTAATGTATTACACGTACTTTGGATTAAGTCTAGCGTAATGACTCGGTAATATATTTGCCTTTATGTTAATGGCCACTCTCAGAAAGCAATATAAAACTTTGTTTACGTCATTGAACAAGTGATTGTTCTCTCTAATCCTATTGTAGTGGTGAACGTGGACTAACATTATCTCAATGGCCCGCCTTAATCGCAAATACATACAAGTAGATCTCGATTTTCGTGAACAATTGTATGTGTCGATGTCAGACAAATGTTACACATTAGCACCTTCTAGACTGTTAGGAAGATGCTATTTTACTTTGAACGTATTAAAATAATGAGCCTTTCCCCCCTCCTCCATTTGTTAGTATGTTCGAGAAAAACTCTCACGGAATATTCTTTATATATCACTAATAGTTAATGTTTGGCATAAATAAAATATGATATTAATACTCACAGGATGATAGAATAGTGAATTCTCTCGATTAATGTATTTATACTGTAGATATGCTGTGTAGTTGTCATTTTGCAGCCAATAAAGGGAGACGGAATATGGGGTCTATTATGCTAATATAGTTAACTCGTTCTATTTCGGGGACACCCATATGGGAATAAAAGATCCATACGATCCATTATGAGATGTCGATTGGTGACACAGGCTGTATTTGGTTGATCATCTGAAAAAAGTCTTTTCTAATTAGAAAATTTTTGGGTGATTTCCCCGAGTAGCAGATTTAAGGGGAAATAGGAAACAGAATAGAGCGAAAGTAACAACAGAGGCCGTTCTTTGTGACCATGCATGACGGCTAACTTTTCTTGACAACTGAACATCATTGTTATTAAATATATTACGAGTAATATCGGCGGTTCGGTTTAGATTTATTATTGACCGTTATTAAATGCAGTGGCTATGCAATATACGGTTACTGTGTAATCTCAACTAATGAGAGCGTCCATCTTGTGCAAATCACACGTTTTGCGATGTTATTTATAAATACTTCCCAGTGGCGTCTACTTTTCAACTGCCTTTTCGAATCCCTCCCACATTAACCAACTGGTTTGGTATTGGCATACACGCTCATTCATCGCCATAACGTATACATATTGTCACATATAAACATACCATTTTCAATTTCGAAATAGCGCCATTCTTTACAAAACATGAATTACTTTACATTTACATTCATAGTACTCCTTTTTATCGTGCTTGCACCATCCCCATCCGTAGAGACATCCGAGCCGGCGTTTGGATACAGCGGCAAGAAAGCTCCACAGTTCTGGGGAAATCTTTCCAAAGAATTTGCTCTATGTTCAACGGGTAAAAAACAATCACCAATAGACATTCCCAAACACGAATTTGCTCGTAAATCCACACGTCCGATCCCATCGTTTGCGAATGCGAGGGATTTGGAAATTTTCCATAATGGCAATACCGTTGAAATTGGCACTGAAAATGAAGAAGAGGAACTTCCTGTACGCATAACGATCCGTGGCAAAGAATATCAAATGCTGCAAATGCATTTCCATACTCCCAGTGAACATCGTGTTGATGGGAAACATTTCGATGCGGAGGGCCATATGGTATTCAGTAGAAAAGACCGTTATAACAATACAAAAATTGCAGTTGTTGCCATACTTTTTGAGATGAGCGATTATGAAAATGAGTTTTTAGTACCAATAACTAAAACGCTGCCGATGAAGATACATGACAAGAAAAAAATCGAAAAAGTGGAATTTAAACAGCTTTTGTGTGATCTTAAGGAGCTTAAACAGGTGAGGAGAATATGTTTAATTCGTAAACTATTAGATTGTAATACGGACATTTATACAGTTGTTATCGTTTGAACTCTCGCAGTTATGATTAAAGTAACTGAATATATTCATTTGTTTTTAATAGACCTACAATTACGTTGGAAGTCTCACGACACCTCCGTGCTCTGAAGGTGTAAAGTGGTACATAAATCGTAAGGTCCAACCCATTTCTTTTTATCAATTTAAACAACTTCGTGAATCAATCGGGTTCAATGCACGATTTACTCAATTACGTTATTTTGCACGTGAGTTTGGCAGAAGAGGTGTACTATAGATTTAAATTAAAAAGATAAAATAGAGGGAGGGATGTGTTTTTATTATTGTTTTAATGTCGACAACTTTATTGGTATCACATGTGACTATATGTAATACGAACAACAGCCTGTCCTTTTCGAATGTTACGTCAAGCTAACAGTGCTCAGAAAAAACCGAGCCTGTTACCAAAAAAAATTAAAAAGTAGTGTAAAAGAAAAGTGTCTGTTCTAATCAAGTAATCAAGCATTTTTCGAGGACTTGTGATGGAAATTTGTGTGCTACTTGGGCATTAATGTTCATAAGGGGTGTACGACAACATGTATAGGAATTCTTTCCTAATATATCACAACGTTGTCATTGACCGGGGTAACACATGTTAGGCGCTTTACCGAAGCAATATCATGAAAATCAAGGGGCAGATCCCGCAAATTTAACCACTATGATGGGATGTGTAAAATGTGCATCGTCGCATGGGCATGTAAAGCTTAAAATAAACGTTATAATTCATCAATTTTGCTTACGAACCAACGCTTTAACTAACATAGACTTTTTTTAGTTCCCGAATTGTAACAATAACGTCAATTACATGTACCTAATATTATTCAAACCATAAAGACAATGTAGTCAAACCTAAATAAATGTCTTGCTCATTCGTTATTTCCAGTTTTTTATCGATAATTTTTCCTTTACTGGGAATCGGCCTATTAGATTGTACTGTCTGTTGTGCAATAAAGAGTTTTCCGATAAACAAGTTGAGATGATGGATAAAAATTATGGCTATTGCATATATCTTGATAATTATAATTGTGTAGCTTTTGTGCGTTGTGACCTTCATGGCGGAAACGTATTCTTGCACATGTCTGAGGTTAAAACATTCGTATGCGATCTTGTCAGTGAGTTTACGAGAGTCAATTGAGTGTTGTATGTTTTATCGCATCGGCATTTTTATACTCTCAAGTTTGACTCGGAGGTCAGACATATGTTCTTTTGGTGTTATCCTGTCTTTAATTGATTGCTACGGCAGACTACCTTTCGAGATAGGCAGTCTGGTAGAAATTAGTATTCAATCTTTTGGTTACTGCACTGATCCTTGATCAAAACTTGCCAAAGCTGTAATTTTGATCCTGACAGGTGTCCAGTTGCATGGACATTTGATAGTAAATTCGTAACGTTATTGTAGTAGACAAGAATAATTCTGGTAATAACACATGGAACCTCGTTTATTATAATAGTATTATCTTGTTAAACGTGTGCAAACGCTCATAATTTGTTTGTTTTTATTAATACCTGCCGTTTATCTTATGATATCAGATCTTTTATCACGTCTTGGAAAAATTAGCCACGATTTTGTTGTTCTTATTAATTAAATTTTACCTCACTACGTTTAGTGCTGGAGCTGCATTGAAAATGATAGAACAAATACAAAATTACGATGCCTTGCTTAAAAATATTTATTGTACAAAGTAAAAAATTATGTTCAAGTTACTCAAAAACTTTTTGATATGCACAAAAATAAACATATGCAATATGTCAATTTTCTCTGATTATCTACGATTGCAAATAACAATAAATTGATCGGGTAACATGTCATAAGGCGAATATGTACTATGAATTGCTGTATGTGATGTAAATGCCAATTATTCCAACAGTCCAAAACCTGTTATACTTACAAATACTTTTCTTAGCATAGCAGAACGTGCACAGATTTGTATGACTGTAATTGCCAAATTTGTAATACGGATGACCCATGTACTTGATAACGTTAGCGTGGCTCACGTTGCTTTCCGACACTAATAATAAAAAGGACATGAGTGACTGTGTCATTATCGAGAACAATGAAGAACGTTCACAGCAGGCTCAATCACCAAAGTCAAGTTGGGGTATTTGACGGGTAATCTTTGCGTGCCGTGGTCAATAGCTACAGTCAACCTTTCGGAACGAATATCGAACGTTCGAACATCCGGCTTATGAAAGCGTACTGAGCTTGACGTAAATGGTTTCGTTCGGTATTAACGTTTTGTATTCAGTTACGACAAAGAACTAAAAAATTTATTGAAGAAAATTAGGAATGTGAGTACAAAGTAAAAGGAAAACTTAGTTTGAAAAAAAAACGTGATCATGTCAAAAAAGGTTTTTAACTGGCACGCAATCATCCGCTTTAATCAACCAATGAAACAGCAGTTTTGTGTGTGGCTGTGTACATTTTATACAGTCTTTGCATGTGGCTATACAGTTTAAACTGCTCTGAAAATAAACTTTTCTATAATCCTTCTAAATGTTTTTATCTGTTGTTTGCATATTGTTATCGATATTATTATTAAACCACCGTCGCTATTGTAAAAATTAATCTTTGGATGTGGCTGTGTACATTTATACACTGATAAGAAAAACTTACATTAACGTTTCCTGCAGATTGCAATCAATACAATTATTACAATATTCCTCTATTGTAAAAGTTAATTAAATTTAATTGTATGTGTGATTTAAATTATATAGCAACCAATAAAAAACGTATGCTCCTGAACAATAACAATACTATGTCATAAAGCGTGCACCATCTCACACCCCTTAAACATTTATACTTATAAGGCTATCAAGGAGTACAGATACGTGTTTCTTTCTATTATCTTCCATCACTTTTTACGCGAACACGCGTCTTCTTATACATATATATCCAGATGTTTCTTTTCATTGCGCATGTTTCTCTCCATGACATCTTCTCTCCTCCAAAGCGTAGTTGATAATACACAACAAACAATCTTCAGTCTACCATTCCATATTGCGCACGAACAACAAGTCATCAACAATAAACTCTTAACCAAACCAACGCCCGCTGTATCTCATCAACTACTAAAATATCTAGATACACAGTCGGATTATCTATTACTCATTTCTTCCAAAGAGTAAAGACAATGTACTTAAAAGTTGAAATGTACAACTAAAAATCCTTCGCCATCACTTCGTATTACGCGCGCGCACACGACCGTCTGATACAGCCCACGAACAAGCCTTCTAACGGTACGGTTGTCAACCATCAGCTGATAAGAGTTTAAACACGCACGTTTACCGCTATTCCATATTACGCGCATACGACAGTTTGCTAGAACTCACGAACAAGTTCTCTAACGATACGTTTGTCGGCACCAACTGATAAAAAAACATACACTCTCTGTTCCGTATTTGTCGCGTCGCGTCGCCTTACAACATCTCCAAAAGCGTGAATCCAACAAACAATCTTTAATAAAACTCGCGAACAAGTTTTCTAACAACACGGACGGCCTATCGACTACCAGCCGATGAAAACGTGCTTTTATTCATATACACGGTTTTTTTGAACGCTTGTCTCAAGCCTCCACAATTACCAATTCGTACAGGAGCGAGAGTCATTATCGCACGAGTACATATATATCAAGGTTAAGTGACAAAGCGATCTAAGGGTTATCCGACGCGTCTAATCGAGCTTGCTCTCATTACTGGTATGTACAGCAAGAATATAAGCATTAACATTAGATCAATTTAGTGACGACCTTCCACAGATACGTTCTTGCCTTACTTCAGTTTGTTTATGGTTTGTGGTTAGTTGAAATGTGTGGGTTATGTTGTCGCTGTACTGTTCACGATCAAAGCGTTCGGTGCATACTTATTCTGCGGAGGAAGTGTCTGTACAGTGATGCTTGGCTCTATGTCGAAACTGACTTCATTCAATGGGCAAACTTTGGTTTGATAGGATATGTTATGACGTTAATTATGGGAACCGCTCGTCTTTTTTCTCAAATTTAACCCGTTTGATGTATAAGAAGCATGCTCTTGCAATACAAAGCGTTCGGGAAACTTATTCGCTGCAGGTGTGTTGCTTGCTGTTTGCGACTAATGCGTCTTGCGACGTTAGTTTGATAAAAAGCTTGCGGATTGTCTGATTCTCATACGCTAATAATTAAAAAATTTTCTGGCAAGTAATGAGTATTAACTCGTTTTTTTCCAAATTATATTATAGTTTGCCAAAAAAGGGCCAGGCGGCGGAATAAATAGTAACAAAGGGTACTACACCTTACGAATAAGCCTTTCAACAACGATACGGACGGTGGACGAACAAACGATACGATGCGATGAACAGTTCAAAGGCAATGGGTAAATAATAGTTCTACTAATTGACTATTGCTTTCAACTCGGTTCACTAGGTAGCTACTCTCCTTCGTTTCTAACCGGTGGACGGATTAAGTTGCGGGTAGTTACCGGTGACGCCTCTCTGCTCACCCCTTCACCAGTGCTCGCCTGCGGTAAAGTGATCCTGGCTGGGTCTGTTGAGTGTGTCACGGGGGATGCCCGGAACACTCTCAGACATATCCTTTTTTCCTTTTTTTTTCTTTTACACAGCTTTTAGATGACGGGGAGAAGGTTTTCGGTAAGTATTGGTAAGTATCGCATTGCTTTCGCGTTATAAGCTAACTCTATTTTTTCCTCCTTTTTCTTCTCTTTCCCTTTTTCTTTCCACTGGTGGGTATGCTGGTGATCGGATCCAATGGGACTCTGGTGGAGCTGTGGATCGAGTTTGAGGGATCGATTCGGTGATTACTTAGTTACTTGAGAAGGATCTGTCCCTTGAAGCTAGTTAGAGATGAATGATGAGTTTGCTGCTTGGCATGCCGACCAAAAGCAATAGTCTTATTTAAGCATCGCTCATCGTAGTATCTACATTATGCAGTACTTTGATATTTATTAATATTAATTTATTAATATTAATTAATAATAATAGTAAACAAAAAAAGTTTTTTTTTTTAAAAAAAAAATATTAACACAATATAATAACTATTTGTAATAGTGAACCATAAAACAAATTATTCAACTTGAACTTAAACAGCAGCTTTATTTTCATCAAGCCAGATTACGAGATTTTGGGCAACCCAATCGCTTGGTGAGCTTTCTTTGTTGACATTAACGCGTGCAAGATCCATCATTTCGATAAATTAAATAAATCAACGGAGTAGTTACTATTGTAAACATTCAGCAGTATGTCACGTG